TCCTGCATGTCCCGGTTGGCCCCGTTTTTCAGCAGCAGGAGCGTCGCCTCCACGTTATTGACGGCGGCGGCCCAGTGGAGAGCAGATTTTCCTGCAGGCAACACTGTGCTAAGCTCGTGGGGAGATGGGGTCTCCCAGGCATGCAGCCCCGGGGGCCTGCAGCAGAGGCTGACGCCCGGAGAAGGGCGCGAAGCCCGTTCCAGGGTTGGGGTCCCGCAGGGAAAACACTATTATCTCTTTTGCTCTGGTCCACGCCGCCGATGCCTCGCTCCAGAGGACCCCGGCACAGGGAGCCCTCGTGAGGGTGCTCACACCCTGCACCCAGCAGAACACGCCCCTCACAGTGCACAGCAGCCTCCTTCTTCCTTGCAGGCCGGATGCATTGTTTGGGGTTTCCATAACGCCCCGAGGGAAGTCATCCCCCTCAGCCCACCTATGTAGGGCCGCACCCCCGGGGAGCCACACTGAGGCCCCAGAACCTGCCTGAAAAATTCCCTCCCACCTTCCTCGCAGCTCAGCTGGCGGAACTCAGACATGAGCAGGGAGAATGGGTAAACGAATGAGCGGATGTGTGTCTGGACCTGAGGCCGTGCCCGCGGGCCGCGAACGGCTCCCCGTGAGGCTGGCTCAGGCTTTCGGACTGGAACCCGCCCGCCTACCATGGTCGTCCACGGCGTTCACGTCGGCCTGGCAGTTGATCAGCTCTGCCACCATCCCCTCCACCGCCAGGCGGGCAGCCAGGATCAGGGGTGTGGTGCCGTCATGCATCCTGGCATCAAGATCCGTTACGCGGTTGCGGATCAGAATCTAGAGGAGGGCAAAGTACAGAGAAAGTCACCGGGCGAAATACCAACGAAACTGAGAGGCACGGGCACCTCGGGACGGGCGCCACCCTGTGAGCTCCCAGAGGCAGCAGATGCCGCCAGGCCCAGACGCCACCACGGCCCATCAGGAACTGCGTGGACGACGGTGCGGACAGGGACAGGCTCCCCGCGGCCTGCTCAGGCCGGCCTGGGCGACTCTCGCGCCCACGAGCGCTCACGGAGCGGCTCTCCGTCGCGCCAAGGAGGGCAGTGACTCGGAACCAGGGGCCTGGTGCTTTCCGCTGCGGCCCCTCGCCAGTCCCCCGGCCCCCCGCCGGCCTCCCTCGGCCGCTTCCCACACGGCACACGCGGCTCCAGCGCCGGACACCACAGCCATGTCCCCGGCGTCACCTGGAAGACCCCCTGGGCGTCCGCGGCCACGGCGGCGTGCAGAGGGCAGCGGCCCATGTTGTCCTGGGCATTGGCGTCCGCGCCCGCGTCCAGGAGGCGCTTGGCGGCGTCCGCCCGGGAGTAGCGGGCCGCCAGGTGCAGGGCCATCTCGCCGGTGCGGTCCGTCTGGGCCTGCAGGCTGGCGCCCTGGTAGACCAGGTCGGTGATGATGTTGGCAGAAGAGTCCTCTGCGTCTTCGTCCTCGTCGCTCACGTCTGAGCTGCCCCCTCGGAGAGAAGCCAGCATGAGCGGGGTGCACCCATCTGCAGGAAGACAAGGTCAGCATGAGCGGAGGTGTTGCTGGGGGAGGAAGTTCCTGGCCTTCCCGCGCCACCGGCAGCTTGTTTCGTATTCGCCACCCGCTTAGCTCTGATAAGGGTCTTTCTGTGCAGAGTGGGAAAGCAAGAGTCTGTCAGCCGGGGGCTCCGCCCCGCTTTTCTGCTGCAGAGACGCAGTGCCCTCATTCAGACCAGATGGCGCTCCTAGCCAACACGGGGCGCTGCACCCCCTCGACTGGCTCTGCACTCTGCTTAGGGTTGTTTCTGTTCTATCCACTGCAAGAGGGACCAAAGAAAGCTTGAAACAGGACGACGTCAACTGCCTAGCTAAAGAAACAGTCTGACACAGCGACACCCTTCTGAGTGGCAAAGCTATTAGACCGCGGGAGAAGCCGCCGCAGTTCACGACATACATCTGACAGGGCCACTACCCAAGATGTATAAAGACCTCGTGTGAAAGACTCAGCAAAAACCAAATAAGCCAATCAAAAGTTGGCAGAAGAGCTACAATGAAGACGCACGACGAAGACACACAAATGGCCAATAGACACATGACAAAATGTTCACCCTCAAGGAAATGCCGATCAACTTGACGGAAGACGCCACCTCACGCCTGTGGGAATGACCCTGCTTTAGTCCAGCAATCACAAGCGCTGGTGAAGGTGTGAGTAAAGGAGCCTCTTTCCCTGACGGGGGCGACAGCCTCCTGCAGCCCCCCGGCAGAGGTTTCTCTAGAGACTACAACTGGACCTGCCTCGTGACCCAGCAATTCCGCTCCTAGGAGGTGACCCGAGGAGCGCAGGAACTCTGGCTCAAAAGCCTCGTGTTTACGTCGACAGCGTATTCACAGCAGCCAAGCAATGCAAAAACCTAAGTGCCCCAAGCGGACGAGAGGGTCAAGACGACGGGGCCTGCACCCACAGTGGCGTGTCATCGCTCAGGGGTCACCAGGGACAAACTCGCAGCGACAGGGAAGGGGCTGAGGGGCCTGTGCTAAGCAGAGTAAGCCAGTGGGGGCAACAGCTGTGTGTGTATGTCACACGACGCTGTCACCACGGGGAGCACAGAGACACAAACCGAGGGCCGGAGACAAGTTACAGAACCAACCCTTGCCAACGACCATCAGTCTGAGGTCTCCCCATGAGGACGGGGAGACGGGCCTGGGGTGGCTCGGCCCGAGGCTGTGGTGGAGCGCGGCCTGACCGCGCCTGAGGGGAGGAACCCCACGTTGCCAGAATACTCGCAAAATAATGCTACTTCTCTAATTAAAAAAAAAAAAAAGGCCAAAAAGTGGGTATCCAAACATGCGGTAGACGACTAACTACTCAGCTAGAAAACAGGTGAGCTTACTGCGGCCCAGCGACCCGAGGAGCGGGAGGGAGGAGTCAGGCGGAGGACAACACTTACACGTGGACACAGAGAACCACGGGCTTGCACAAACCCAAGCCAGCAGCAAGCCCTAGACATCTGCCTACAGCAATGAGGCTCCGGGGGGCGCTCGGGCGCGCAGCCGGCCTGGGAGCCAGGGCCGAGGGGAGCACGGCACCTCAGGGGTGTGCCCTGGGCCTCTGAGTCAGTGCTGGGACCGACTGCTGCGCACTCAACGCGCGCTTGCCATCCTGAGCCACCAAACATCGCCCAGCCGACGCATCGGCTGCGCGCCGTGGCCCGCCGCCCCCCGGC